AGTCGAATAATTCAGTCGAATACTTCAGTCGAATACTTCAGTCGAATAGTTCAGTCGAATAATCCAGTCGAATAATTCAGACGAATAAACAAGTCGCTCAATATTAAGCAGCGGTGGCAGCGGGCTAAGATAATATAGTAGCAAATCATGCTCGTAGACATAGCTGAAGGAGCCGAGGCATGGGGTAGGGACCGGGGGGCTTCCCAACTAGTTTCAAGAAATGAAAAGAAATGAAATGGGGGTTTTAACGTCCTACTGTTCTGCTTGGAACTGGGCTTATGAAGACGGGCATACGCCATACACTATGCGATTAGGGAAATTTTGCCCAGACAGCGGCACTACGGCATACTCTTATATCGAATTCCATCTGTCAAGGGATCTTTTACGTCCACGCCAATGTATACACGGGACCTCGGTTTTTCGTCCCATCCGAAAGACGGGACGTAAAAGATCCTTTGACAGATGGAATTCGATATAAGAGTATGCTGTAGTGCCGCTGTCCGGGCAAAATTTCCATAATCGCACAGTGTATGGTGTATGCCCGTCTTCATTAGCCCAGTTCCAAGCAGAACAGTAGGACGTTAAAACCCCATTTCATTTCTTTTTATTTCTTGAAACTAGTTGGGAAGCCCCCCGGCCCCTACCCCATGCCCCGGCTCCTTCAGCTATGTCTACGAGCATGATTTGCTACTATATTATCTTAGCCCGCTGCCACCGCTGTTTAATATTGAGCGACTTGTTTATTCGACTGAATTATTCGACTGGATTATTCGACTGAACTATTCGACTGAAGTATTCGACTGAACTTCTCGACTGAATTATTCGACTGGTTTATTCGACTGGATTATTCGACTGAACTAACTGACTGATTTTATCGACTGGACGAGGCCACATGAAAATGTCAAATACCTCACCCCCCCCCCCCCCGCCCCACCCCATCCCCTTTCTTCGTTCATATCATATATAGGGATTCTATACTTTTCGAGGCGGACAAGGACAGCTGTCTAGTCGTTCGGATGGGATGAAAAACCGAGGTCCCGTGTACACATTCGCGTGGACGTGTATGGCGTATGCCCGTCTTCATTAGCCCAGTTCCAAGCAGAACAGTGGGACGTTAAAACCCCATTTCATTTCTTTTCATTTCTTGAAACTAGTTGAGAAGCCCCCCGGTCCCTACCCCATGCCCCCGGCTCCTTCAGCTATGGCTACGAGCATGATTTGCTACTATATTATCTTAGCCCGCTGCACCGCTGCTTAATATTGAGCGACTTGTTTATTCGACTGAATTATTCGACTGAAGTATTCGACTGAACTTCTCGACTGAATTATTCGACTGGATTATTCGACTGAACTAACTGGCTGATTTTATCGACTGGACGAGGCCACATGAAAATGTCAAATACCTCACACACACCCCACACCCCCGCCCCACCCCATCCCCTTTCTTCGTTCATATCATATATAGGGACTCTATTCTTTTCGAGGCGGTCATGGACAGCTATCTAGTCTTTCGGATGGGACGAAAAACCGAGGTCCCGTGTATACATTGGCGTGGACGTAAAAGATCCCTTGACAGATGGAATACGATATAAGAGTATGCCGTAGTGCCGCTGTCCGGGCAAAATTTCCCTCATCCCACAGTGTATGGCGTGTGCCCGTCTTCATTAGCCCAGTTCCAAGCAGAACAGTAGGACGTTAAAACCCCATTTCATTTCTTTTCATTCTTGAAACTAGTTGGGAAGCCCCCAGGTCCCTACCCCATACCCTCGGCTCCTTCAGCTATAGCTACGAGCATGATTTGCTACTAATTATCTTAGCCCGCTGCACCGCTGCTTAATATTGAGCGACTTGTTTATTCGACTGGATTATTCGACTGAAGTATTCGACTGAACTTCTCGACTGAATTATTCGACTGGTTTATTCGACTGGATTATTCGACTGAACTAACTGGCTGATTTTATCGACTGGACGTGGCCACATGAAAATGTCAAATACCTCACACACACCCCACACACCCCGCCCCACCCCATCCCCTTTCTTCGTTCATATCATATATAGGGATTCTATTCTTTTCGAGGCGGACAAGGACAGCTGTCTAGTCTTTCGGATGGGACGAAAAACCAAGGTCCCGTGTATACATTGGCGTGGACGTAAAAGATCCCTTGACAGATGGAATTCGATATAAGAGTATGCCGTAGTGCCGCTGTCCGGGCAAAATTTCCCTCATCCCACAGTGTATGGCGTATGCCCGTCTTCATTAGCCCAGTTCCAAGCAGAACAGTAGGACGTTAAAACCCCATTTCATTTCTTGAAACTAGTTGGGAAGCCCCCAGGTCCCTACCCCATGCCCCCGGCTCCTTCAGCTATGGCTACGAGCATGATTTGCTACTAATTATCTTAGCCCGCTGCCACCGCTACTTAATATTGAGCGACTTGTTTATTCGACTGAACTATTCGACTGAAGTATTCGACTGAACTTTTCGACTGAATTATTCGACTGGTTTATTCGACTGGATTATTCGACTGGTTTATTCGACTGGATTATTCGACTGAACTAACTGGCTGATTTTATCGACTGGACGAGGCCACATGAAAATGTCAAATACCTCACACACACCCCACACCCCCGCCCCACCCCATCCCCTTTCTTCGTTCATATCATATATAGGGACTCTATTCTTTTCGAGGCGGTCAAGGACAGCTGTCTAGTCTTTCGGATGGGACGAAAAACCGAGGTCCCGTGTATACATTGGCGTGGACGTAAAAGATCCCTTGACAGATGGAATTCGGTATAAGAGTATGTCGTAGTGCCGCTGTCCGGGCAAAATTTCCCTCATCCCACAGTGTATGGCGTGTGCCCGTCTTCATTAGCCCAGTTCCAAGCAGAACAGTAGGACGTTAAAACCCCATTTCATTTCTTTTCATTTCTTGAAACTAGTTGGGAAGCCCCCAGGTCCCTACCCCATACCCCCGGCTCCTTCAGCTATAGCTACGAGCATGATTTGCTACTAATTATCTTAGCCTGCTGCCACCGCTGCTTAATATTGAGCGACTTGTTTATTCGACTGAATTATTCGACTGGATTATTCGACTGAACTATTCGACTGAAGTATTCGACTGAACTTCTCGACTGAATTATTCGACTGGTTTATTCGACTGGATTATTCGACTGAACTAACTGGCTGATTTTATCGACTGGACGTGGCCACATGAAAATGTCAAATACCTCACCCCCCCCCCCCCCGCCGCACCCCATCCCCTTTCTTCGTTCATATCATATATAGGGATTCTATTCTTTTCGAGGCGGACAAGGACAGCTGTCTAGTCTTTCGGATGGGACGAAAAACCAAGGTCCCGTGTATACATTGGCGTGGACGTAAAAGATCCCTTGACAGATGGAATTCGATATAAGAGTATGCCGTAGTGCCGCTGTCCGGGCAAAATTTCACTCATCCCACAGTGTATGGCGTATGCCCGTCTTCATTAGCACAGTTCCAAGCAGAACAGTAGGACGTTAAAACCCCATTTCATTTCGTTTCATTTCTTGAAACTAGTCGGGAAGCCCCCAGGTCCCTACCCCATGCCCCCGGCTCCTTCAGCTATGGCTACGAGCCTGATTTGCTACTAATTATCTTAGCCCGCTGCCACCGCTACTTAATATTGAGCGACTCGTTTATTCGACTGAAGTATTCGACTGAACTTTTCGACTGAATTATTCGACTGGTTTATTCGACTGGATTATTCGACTGAACTAACTGACTGATTTTATCGACTGGACGAGGCCACATGAAAATGTCAAATACCTCATCCCGACACGCCCCCCCCCCCCCCCGCCCCATCGCATCCCCTTTCCATGTTCATATCATATATATTGACTCTATTCTTTTCGAGGCGGACAAGGACAGCTGTCTAGTCGTTCGGATGGGACGAGCAAGAACTAACTTACTGATGTTATCGACTGAACTAACTGACTGATTTTATTGACTGGACGAGGCCACATGATAATGTCAAATACCTTATCCCCATGATATGCCCCCCTAACCCAACATATCATATATAGGGACTCTATATTCTTTTGGAGGTGGACAAGGACAGATGTCTAGTCGTTCGGATGGGACGAAAAACCGAGGTCCCGTGTACACATTGGCGTGCACTTAAAAGATGGGGGCATATGGGGATGAGGGAAAAAGTAAAGCATGACTTTATTAAGCCGCGGTGGCAATAACACCTTAAAGTTTTAATTTGAACAATCAAATTTGAACATGAGGGGACGTAAAAAATAAACAAAAACAATGATAAAAGATATTGGAATTAGTGCGTTTTTTCTTTAACTTATACTGATTACAAACGATTCTAAAATTTTAATAAGCCATCGACCGGTTTATTCGACTGACTATTTGATTTGGACTTAGGGTCGACTCATAATTTCTCCCAAACGAAGGGAGCTAACTCTAGTTTATTGTTGTACAACCGGAAGCGCGGTACTTTTCGAAGAAAAAAGCTTTTGCAGTTACTTACAGGCCTACTCAATATTTGTATTATTATTTATAGGCATTATATAAATGAATTCACCGGTACGTATACTTTTTTCTTTATATGATTCTATTGTGGTACTCTAGCCTTAGATCTCTTTCGAAAGTGAAAAGACGAAAAAATCACTTCTCTCTACTACAGACTAATGACTATTATAGACTATAGTACACATTCACATGTCATATGAATATTGAATACATCAATACATATATGACGATGTCCCTATCCAATGTCAATGACTACTACACTACAGTATGTACAGGATATATAATACTTGAATTGCTAGGATAAATATACTTATATTTTCATAGGCCTAGACTGTGCCAAACCAATATATTAAATTCGATGAAAACACCAGAGTGAACCCACTATGCTATGGCCATGGCCGCCATGGGTGAACTTAAAAAGGTGAAACCACTGTGACTGTTACCACTGTTAGCCCATTTTAACAATCTGTGATTTGCCTAGGAGTAGGGATCTGTACTATTTCTAGTATGAACCTTTTCATGTGAAGCAGTTGATGTTACTGCTCTTTGGGGGGCCCGGTGTGGCCGAGTGGTTAGGACGCTTGCCGCTCATGCTGGGGGTCCCGGGTTCGCATCCCAGCGAGGTCAAGGTCAACCTTGTGGATTTTTCCGACTGGGTTCCCCCTTGTCAGGTGGGGGCTGACATGGAAAAGCGTTCTAGTCCATCGGAGACGACGATAAACGGAGTCCCGTGCTCATTCGATAGAGCACGTTAAAGACACCTCGCCAGTTAAAAATTGGTTGTAAGAGTATGCCATTAATAAAACAGTAGATCTGCTACGACAAGCTGTAGTTGCATTAGAAGAAGCGAGCGTCACACCAAGAGAAACTGCAAGGAGACCTGCTGCCAATGATCCTGGATCATCTTGTGCCGATGGTGAAATCAGGAGACTATTAACCAACACTTCTACTACTAGCACCCCTATAACTAGGCCCAACGGTACATCATCTAGTGAAATTCGCAGGCTTTTTACACCATACAATAGATCAAACCCCAGACGAGTACCGGTAACTCAACAGAGACAGTCTAAGTGGTCGCATAAATTTTTATGCTTGGCAGATCCACAGCAGGTATTTATTACAGATGTTTGATTAAAATTAATCTTAAGTTTTACACATCAACGCTTTAAAATGTTTGAAATATTTAAAGTGCTCTTCAAATGGCATTAAAATGACTACAGAAAATATATTCAGAAAATATGCTTTGGATAGATGTAATATGATGCATGTGTGCTTGAATATAACAAGACCTTCTCTATTCTACAAACAAGTGTAAAACTTCTATTTTTGTAGCCTGGTCTATTCATACTCACAGAATTCATTAACTTATAATACAAATTTATTTCTGCCTTCAGGATTATGTCCCAACCAAGGATATGAAAGTAAATCTCTTTATGGCTGGTTTAGGAGAAAAGAGGCTAGTATTGGATAAATCTCTAGATCCAGCTTATTTCAAGGAGAGCGTCCTTGAACATTATCCAAAGTTAAAAGGAGGAGGGGGATTTGAATTACTCAGGACCTGCAACAGAACATGCCTGGAAATTATTCCACCCCAAAGATCAGGCTATACAACTTCGTTTTTAGCTGACTCGTGTAGTCTTGGACAGTGTGTTATTTTCATCAGGCCTCTCCAGCAAGCTTTGAATATGGACATCTCAGCATATGAATCTGAGGTAGGCACAATCAAAATAATTTTTTTATTCAAGTCCGAGGCAGGACATTAGACCATTGACACTTATTCATAAGTGAGCATATCATTTGGTTGCTAATTTTAGGGCGGCTCTTTTGTAAAACACAAGTTTATGCTTTTTTTTATTATTATTAATATTGTAGCCAACAGATGATTGTCCCATTGAAAAGTGTCTTATTTGTGAGAAAGACATTCCCATAATACAACTGAAGTCCCATATTAAAGAAGAACATGAGGTGAGTTATTGGCTTTGGAATAGACAAACGGCAGTGGTACTGTATTTAATGATTGTCATATAGTCAATTCAAAATAATTGAAATGACACAATGCCAGATTTAGAAAGAGTAAGAATCTTTCACATTTGAAAATAAAAGTCATTAATTTTGAATCTCTGTGTAACTAAATAAAACTCTGGATAACAACAAATGTTTCAGACATAGCTAGCATTAAAGTAGACATACCAGTAATTAGAATTAATAAGAATTGCTCCAACAAAAAGTATTTGACTGGTGACTATGCCCCTTAACCTTTTTCAAATGCCATAGTCACGTTTTTGCGACTTCTCGGTCAAACACCATAGTCACACTAATGCAACACAAGGTATGATTCAGAACGACTTGTGTCCAAGTTTGTGCCAACTCACCATCGAACGGAAGATAGATGAATGTCAAGGCCTTGTAAACATACGAAAATAGCTGGGCCTTACTTCTCAAATAAGTTGTGAATTTTTAGTTTGAAAAAAATCAGAAAATCAGATGTTCTTTTTGATAGCGACAGTGAATTTGGAATTGAAAGTTTTTATGTTTTCATGAAAAAGAATTTTGTCCAATTCCCTTTGACTTTTTCATCGTGATATTGCTGTATCTTTTATAATTATCGTTTAGGTAAGTAAGTGGTCTATGAAATACAGTGCTATCAGAAACAATTTGTCCTTCACAGGAATGAAATATAAAAGATTAAAGTATTTGTAAATCCGAACCTATATTCTTTGTTTTATTGTTTATTCCTGTTACAGGGTGATGATGCACTGCCTGTTATCAAATCAAAGAAAACGAAGATAAGACCCATTTGTGATTATGTATGTCAGATAGAAGTAAGATACATTTTTTTTTTTTTTTCTCACTACCGGTATTACAAATTGTTAATATACCGTAAACCACTGGAAAGTTGGACACTTTTACTGCTTTTTTACAAATAATTTTGTCACTAATAGCCCTGCCTTGTGCTAAACCCTGTGGTGTGATGAGGAATATTATGGTGCTTTGCACACATTTTATCTATTTGAAGAATATTAACAGCAAGAATTTCGAAAATAAAAGGGTGCTGCCAACTTCACCTATCACAGGGGAGAGGGGTTGTAAAATTGCAAGAGCAATGATACAAAAGCACTGGCACAGTTCAGCAAACATAGAATATCTGGTGAACATGGCCAGGGACAAGAATATGAATGTTTTGGCACTAATATCACTAAGCACTTGTTGAAAAAACACAGTAATAGGATTTAAAATAATGCTTTGTCATTTTGTTTAAAATAAATTTATATACAAGAATTAACGGAGGAGCTACTTAGGTATTTTTGAAAAATGTCACATTTTCACTTATTTTGTTGTGAATAACTGTACCAAGACATGTTCATGTCCCATGTGAATTATGAAAAATATAATGATTTCACCAAAAAATGTCCTGTTGAGCAGAATGCCTTTCGGACATCTTGCACTTATAGTCAAACATGACTGGCAAATAGTAACTCGTATTAAATTACTGTTATATTTTATAGGATTTAGAGTCTGAGCTACAGAAAAATGATACACAGAAGTAATAATTATGTTGAAAATTATAATCTTTTATTGCATGCTGAATACTTATTTTTAAAACATTTTCTTTAGGTCCTTTATTTTTATGTTTGAATAAAGGTTAAGTAACCTTTCAAAATCAGTTGATGCTTGATTTCATGTTATTAATGTTTCAGTAATTATTTTTAATCAGTTTTATTTAAACAGACTGAACAGGGCTCAATTTAACCAATATCGCATTGCAGTTTTCTATTCTAATGTGAATCAGAGATTAGAATAATTTAGCAAAACCCAAAAATGTTCTCATGATATAAAAAAGGACTAGTCTGTTTCATTTGTGATGTGACGTCATTTATTGGATAGTCGCAATATCCAGACGTAAATGACTGGTCACAAAGTGTCCTAAAGGGCTTAAATCGTGCTACAAACATCAATTTTTTTTTCTTTGGGTGGATTTGGATGCTCAAAAGACACTATCAGATGAATAATAGATGAAATAAAGAACAGTTTCCCTGACAAATTTAAATTTCTTTGGAATACTGTGCTAAACAAACTGATTTTTATAAATTGGGCCCATTAAAACATTTTCTTTAGTTCCTTTATATTTATGGTTAATAAAGGTTAAGTAACCTTTTAAGATCTGTTGATGCTTGATTGATAATTATTCATTATCTCATCTATATGAGTGCATCATAATAAATCAACATCATTATGTAGTCTAGATGTCGGAAATTAAACAGGACATAAGATTCAGGCTGCTTCAAAATATGGATACAATATAATATTAGTTTTTCTTTCATAAATGAGTCATATTCATCATAATATGTAAGTCAAGTGAAATTATTAACACCTTGTTTTCTTCTCTCTATTCGAAGTTAAAGGTTAATTTTAGAGGACCTTAAATTTAGTGGATCTTCAGTCAGACTTGAAGTCAGAAATACTCGAAAAGCCTAACGCTGCTGCCCTATAAGCCTAATGTTAAATCCAGCCCTGATTATTACAGGAGCTTATATTTTGGTAACACACCATATGTATCAGTTTACAATTTTTATAAAAATTTTATTTTGTAGATGGACGGCTTGCCCAATATGTTTTGAAATCTTTCGTGAAGATTTAGTTGCCAGTCATTCTGCTAGTTGTTGTGATGAGACTACTCATATAAATGAAAGGTTTATGAAAATATTTTATTAATTTTATGAAAGTTTCTGTCAAGCAAACAATAGCATGTAATTCATGTACCCTACTTAAAAGTCGATTTTGACTAAATTTTTTGCTGAAATATCTTTATGGTAGTCCTGCTGCATGGATTTAAGGTTTGAATATGAAAGATTCTAAAATATATTTAAAATTTTTTAGGTGTCTGTAGTTGGAGGATGGCTTATAAGTTTGTTATAACTCTTTTAGTTTTTGCTGAATCTGTATGACAGAAAGTGTTGATCTCATCTGAGATGTGGATGTGTAATAACAGTAAAATTATGATTTAATTCTAGGTTTTTAGGTGGATGAATTTGTTTGAATTTGTATTTCCTATGTCTCAATTTCAAGGACTACTAATTGTCCATTTAAACCCTATTTTGTCTGTGTGATTAAGAGTGTTATTAAAGCTTCCCTTTTGACCCACTGCGAAAAAATTCTGAAGTGAGTTATACCCTTTAAGACAATCTTAACATCTTAGATCGTGACGTTAATGTCTCATAGATAAACAGATTAAAAGAGATAATTACGTCACAATCTGTGACTTTACAGAGTGTCTTAAAGGGTATAATACAATTGTCGGGCATCAGAATATGTTTTTTTTCAGTGGGTCATAAGGGAATCTTACATAAGACTTTTATCAAAAAATACAAGGTTAAATAGACAACAATTGTCCTTTAGTATTTATTAAATTATCTTTTCAGTCATCCTATTAGTCTTCATGAAGCTCTTGAAAAATTTAAAGTGGATGTGTTTGGGGAAAAGAAGGAGAAAATAAATATATCTGTTTTACGTAATAAGTTTCTACAAACTGCTATGGAAAATCTAGATGATATTGACTTCCAGCAGATAATAAACGTGATATTTATCGGTGAAGAAGGTGTCGATGCTGGGGGACTCACCAGAGAGTTTTTCTCTCTATTGTTCAAACAAACACCAGTCTTTGAAAATGGTGGATTTAATGTTAATTCACAGTTACTGAGTGATAAAATATATCAAATTATTGGCAAAGCAGCGTCATATTCAGTTCTCAATGGGAATCAAGGACCTCAGTGTCTAAGATCTCACCTTGTAAAGTATATATTAAGTAATGTGCTTCCAACAGATGAAGAAATTCCTGAGGAAATTTTGCCAGCTAATGTCTTGTATGTCCTTCAAGAGGTATGATTATAGTTTTGTTTTTCAGTCCTAATCAGGAAGGGATTTGTTGGTGTTCGGAAAAGTTTAATTGGGAAGACAACATGCTTTGCCTCAGTTCTGTTCCCTTCAAGTACATCCTGTCAGACTTGTATAGTAACTGAATGCTCCTACTGTTAAATTTCAAATACCTTGAACCAGTTAAAATATTCAATGAATTGGCTGCAATTTTAGAAGACATCTGATCTGACAAATGAATTTGGTTATTTTTTGTAGATGGGTAGATTAGATAATGAAGGATTAAATACTCTATTGACAGAAAATGCAGATGTATTTGAAGCTGCAGGTTTTAGACAGAAGCTACATTCAGGTTCAAAGCAAAGTGCAGCTCTGGCTCTTCATCAACATTTTGGATTTTACAGATTTCTACCGGCTATGATACAATTTATAGATGGTACGCTCAAACTTTTCATGATTTTTTTGTTCATTTTATGTAACAGAACTACCATGAAGACAATACTAGCTTTGTGAATATCAGAAATGGATGCAGAGTTTGCAAACTCAGTCGGAATAGCATCAAGTCTTATGGAAGGGTTGCATGCCCTGTATTGCTTATTTTAGAAATTCATTTAAGCCGTTAAAAATGGGTTTAATTTTACAAATTTTAAATTGTTCCAAATTTATTACAAACGTTTGATATGGGCAATACTGTGAGGCAGCACATATTAAGTTAGTAGTGGAATTCCTGCCACACTCGCTGTAACATACCATATGTATGATCTTAGCAGATTCTGGTTGATTACACTTATAAAATGTATTAAATTCTATAGATACTGCTAAAATTTGAGACAAGCTGAGACAAAAATGCTCATGATATGAGGTGTAATGATGTCAAAGTTTTTTGTACAACTTCTTACTTTAATTGCTGCCTCCTTAGTTGGCAGCCATTCAACTATAAGACAAAAATAAGTGGTAGTTGACGAGTTATCTTTCTTTATTAAGGTTTGAAACTTCATGGTGTGTATGATCTCTTGGTAAAATATCCAAAGGAATCATCCTTATTTTTAAGTATACATGAAACAACATACTCAGATATCATAGATATGTATCAACCAAGTTATTCGTCAGATCAAGAAGAAAAGAATATTGAGGAAATTATTGTTTACAATTTACATCAATTTCTTAGAAAATTGCAAAGTAAGTAATTATTCTTTAGTCACATATACAGGAACACATAAACACAAGTTATGGAGAACAGTTATTAAATGCAATACAAAAACTTTCTGTAACAATTTTTTTGTAACAACTATATTGTAGTCTGGTTCAGTTAATTTTTCTTTATACACAGGCACCACTGAAGTCAGTGGAGTCTGAGGGCATTTCAGATATCTAGTGATTTTCCATTTAATTTTCTGAATGGCAGGGAATTTTCTTAAAATCTATTTCTAAAGAATGTAAATGCACTGCATTAGTCTTAAAGTGAAATGATTTTGAAATAAGGAAAAGATTACCACTAATGATTATAACGTAACTAAGTTCATTAATGATTTTTATGTGCCTTGTCCATAGGTACTATGGCAGGCGTCGCCAGCAAGGCCCAGTGAGGCAGGACATGCTCACCCTTCCAGAACACATGATGCCACTCTGCAAATGGGTTTGTCAACTTGGCATCCCTTGGGAGAGTCCACATAGGTAATGCTTGAGACTTGCCCATTTTTTTTTTTTGGGAGGGGGGGGGAGTGTTTCCGACTTAATTTGGTATGCGATACATATGATTCAACAGTTAAGTTTGAAATCCTGAAATAATTCAAGAAAATAACGATAGTTATATACTTTTAGTTATTGCCATAGCTTTTATATGCATGTCTTGAATATTCAGAATATATACTATCATCATTTAACACTTTTTCATAAGTGCATATATTTTGTTGGCTGCCACAGTGTTAATGTTCAAATAATAAAATTTCATTTTTTACTTACAGGAGGGAAGATAACTTCAGAGTGGATAAGCCTAAATGATATAACAGATGTAAACACACCTGTCAAACTGACTATTAAAGATTTTTTACAGGCAGTGACTGGAAGCTCTTCGATAAGCAATAATATAAAAATTGGGCTGATATTGTTTGATCACAAAAGTGAACTGTTAACGACTGTGAATACATGTGCCCCATCAATTACATTTAGCCAAACCTCATCCCTTAAAGAATATTCCTTCCTTGAGAAATCTATGATAAATATAATAGTAGGTGCATATGGATTTGGCATCAATTAAAGGGACTGTTTCTTGTAGTGCAAAACCATTGTTTCATATTTCACTAATTTTATCCATAAGATTCAAAAGCAATCAAAGTCTTTCATAATTCCCTCCTTTATTCTTTGCTGTCCATATTGTATACTCTGATAGAGCACGTGTTTATGTTATGTACTACATTATATAAACAGGAGAAGAAACTTATATTGCAACTCGACATAAACTACAAGAAAAATATAGCTGTAGTCTATGTTATTTAAACAGAAATGACAAATTTCTGCTGAATCAGCTTCGTGAACCCCAATAATGCAATAGAAAAATAATTTTCTTTTCAAAATGTCTATTTTAGCAATCTACAATGCTTTTAAACATCAGAGTACAATTGTTATAAATATATTTGAAAGATTAGCTTCTCAGATATACACTAGAGCTATAATTAAACATGTTTAAATTTCTTCTGCTGTTAATATATTCCTATAATATCATTGATATGTAAACCTGATTGACAGGGTCATTTTATTGTTGTGTTTTTCAGATCATCCCCGGAGACGGGAATATGCAGGCCTTGTTTTTAAAATCATTTTTAAAAAATAAATTATAAAGCTTTCAAGAGTAGTTTTTATGCACTTTTATGAATAATTTAAACAAGTGGTTGCCCAGCAAGATACGCCCACTTTTAAAAAATGTTTTTTTGGTATATCAAAGACTATACTTCAGAAATATTTGTCGAATCAAGATCTTATGGATATAAACCTACACACATTTTTTTTATTAAAATTCGACCAAAACTGTGGCCTCTATCGCATTCTCAAGCAAATTTGAACGTATTTTTGGTGTATCAAAGGTTAAATATCTGTGAATATTTGTCGAATCAAACCCAAATTCGAACTTGTCCGAGATCTTATGGATATAAACCTACACACAAAATTTTATTAAAATTCGACCAAAACTGTGGCCTCTATCGCGTTCACCAGCCAATTGTGGACGGACGGACAGGGGCGACGGCAAAATACGACCACATTTTTTGAATGTGGGCGTATAAAAATAAATAATTAAGAATAATAAGAATAAGAATAGTTTATTTGTACTTTTAGGCCGTTGGCCCCTTATACATGATAATTGATAAATAAATTATATACAGTTATACACATGGCATAAATAATGAACATTTACAAAGTTTACATCTTGTATAGAAATATAATGCATGGCTGGACAATTAGATGAATCAAAAGAAGATTAGCAGTAACAATAACCTTCCACAAACATCACATTTGAATAGAATTTTAGTGATAACAAATACTTCGCCACAAGCAAGAAGTATCATACTCTATATTACAAACATGACATATAATGGTTTGCAGGAAGGTTAACCATATCGTACTCTTCACCATATACATCACATTTAATAGTTTGCTAGAGGTTTCGCCGTATCATACTATATACCACAAACATCATATTTAATGGTTTGCTAGAAGTTTAACCAAACAAACATCACTTTTAATGGTTTGCTATAAGTTCAATCAAGCCATACCCTTTACTACAAACCTCATATTTAGTGATTTGCTAGAAGTTTAAACATATCATACTCTTTATCACAAATATCGCATTTCGTGGTTTTATAGACGTTTAACCAGATCATACTCTTTATCACAAACATCGCATTTAATGATTTACTAGAAGTTCAACCAGATTGTACTCTTTACCACAAACATCACATTTAATTGTTCACTAGAAGTTTATCCATATTATACTTTTTACTACAAACAAAACGTTTAATGGTTTGCAAGAAGTTTAACCATATTGTACTCTTTACCATGAACATCACATTTAATGCTTTGCTAGTGGTTTAACTATATTGTACCCTTTACCGTAAACATCACATTTAATGGTTTGCTAGAAGTTCAACCATATTACACCCTTTGTCACAAACACATTCAATGGTTTGGTAGAGTTTAAACCATATCATATTCATTTACCATATATATCACATTTAATGGCTTGATAGAAGTTTAATCATATACTCTTTACCACAAACATCACATTTAATGATTTGCTGGAAGTTTAACCATATCCTACTCTTTACCATAAACAACACATTTAATGCTTTGCTAGAGTTTAAACCATATATATAAATTTACCATAAATATCACATTTAATGACTTGTTAAAAGTTTAATCATAACATATACTTTACCACAATTATCACATTTAATGGTTTGATAGAAGTTTTACCATACTATACTCATTGCCATAAACATCACATTTAATAAAGGTCAAGAGTTTTGACACTTTTGAAGCTTTATCTTAAGCAATTGGTGTAAGTAACACATGTAGTGATTTACAGGCTTTCAACTCTGGTGTTTTACAACAGTATGGCATTAGGATTCTTACTACTCACAGGGTTAGCATCTCTCGCCTAAATACTAATGCTTTTTTAATGTATAGAGCTAAGTTTTTCTGATGATTCACACTTGAAAAAAGATACTTTAAATTTTCAGATGATGGGAATTTGGTTAAGCTATTTGGCAAGAAATTGTTTCTCAAGTCTCTAATCTAAGCATGGGACAGAAATGAAATGAAATGAGATGGAGTTTAACATCCCATTTTTATGCACTGTAAGGCTAATTAGAGACGGGCATATGCCAAGTGTGTGCAATGAGGGTGAATTTTGCCAAGGGCAGCGGCACATGGCCTACTCTTACAACCGATTTTAACTGCTGAGGTGTCTTTAACGTGCTCTATCGAATGAACACGGGACTCCGTTTATCGTTGTCTCCGATGGACTAGAACGTTTTTCCATGTAAGCCCTCAACTGACAAGGGGGAACCCAGTCGGAAAAATCCACAAGGTTGACCTCGACGGGATGCGAACCCGGGACCTCCAGCATGAGCGGCAAGTGTCATAACCACTCGGCCACACCGGGCCCCCTAAGCATGGGACAAATCATAATAAAATAATAATAATATAAATAACTACTCTCATAATGAAAGACCAGATTTTTTATTTTTGGCCTGCAGCACATAATTATTGATCCGATAAATCAATTTTACTTGTAAGAAAGTGAACAGTTTTGCAAAACAGATCAATTCCATGAGAATCGGATGCTTGTAGTGGGTCAACATGGTTTCTTAATTCTTCTTCAACATCATCAAGAATGATACAAGAGTTCTGGGGAATCTCAACACAATCAGGTTCATTCCCAGTCCATAATCCTTCTCGATTCACTCCAAAGTCTTGAATATTCTGAAATGAAAATTATATTAAAGTGGACAATGTATTACTGGTGTAAGGAGTGAAGGAAAAAACTAGTTTCATAATAGAAACATTGGCCAAGTTTACAACACAAGTATTTTTTTTATAACAAAAAATAGTGAAGATTATATACTGGCAAAGTATTACTGAGAAAGTTTCACTTACAGAAATATTTCATTATTTATCTGGTGCAGAAAATGCATGTGTGGTTTATATAATTTAACATCTACAGGTATTCAAAATATCTTTGACTGTAGTGCTACATGAATTGAGTACTTAAGTGGAATATATTGTTTTAATTAATGAGTTTAATGATAATAAATAGCAAGATTCAAAGATAAAAAGACACAAGTTCGTATATACATACCTCATGTGTCAAAGTTTCAGATGGATTTAGCATTTGACCATATGTCCACATCTGAATTGGAGATTGGCATTGGGCAGTTCTCAATGGCCGTCTCATAAAGGCATTTCTAAAAAAATCAAGGTGGTTCTGAATTCTTGGTAAAAAAACATAGTGCAGGGCATAAAGATGTAGTTCATCAGTAGGTATTAGAATACCTTGGTTCTCCATTGAGCAAAATAAATTATAAAATAATCCAATGCAGCCTGTCCACACATCTCGCCAAAATCGCTCAATTCTGAAAAGATAAAATACATTTACTGGAAATAATAAACTTTTACAGTACTAACATCACTATCAGTAACAGCTAAATATTTCTCTGTTTGTTTTTAATAACATGAAATTTTGCTTCAATCTTGAAATTATGCTATAGGGACAAATTTGACATGACTATTAATTTCGTCAAGTTGACCTTTAGAGTGTAGGCTATATTATGTTTTAAATGTTTTGTAAAGCTGGTAGTCAATAAAAATACCTAACAAACAATATTAACTATGTGGACTCTCTGAAAGTGATGTCAGGTTGACAAACCCAGTCGCAGAAGGGCATCAGGTTTTCCAGAAGGGTGAGCATGCCCTGTCTGGCTAGCAATAGCCGCCACATATCGATCATAGTGGAGCTATGAGAAAAATAAAGTTTTTGGACTTGTGTAATGTCATAATCTACAGTATAAACACAAACCTTTGGTTGTGAACGCTGCGTCCAGTTATATGGCTGCCTCTTCCTACTCCCTTTTGTTCAACCATAAATTTGGCAACAAGAACATTTTCACCGCCTTTGTCAGATCTAACTCTTTGCGGAATACCATACACTGTGACCGCTTCCATAAAACTCTGAACCACAGTCTCAGACCTGTTATTATCAGAAACTGTTAAATATACAGGTAATCTGGAGAAACCGTCTATTCCACCATGGATGACCATTCTCCAACTGCAAAAAGTAAACATAAAAATCTAATTACAAATCTAAATAGTCACACTCTGTAACAATATAATTTGATCTGTAAATAAACAGACTTTTACATATTAACTCCATGAAGAAAAATTTAAATTTAATGAATATCAACAGGCTTTTGCCTATAGCCCATTTGTAATTAACATAACAGTAGGGCCTACATGAAAGAAATATAACTACCAAAAAAAATGGAGAGGTAACAAACCCAATTGCAGAATGGCATCAGGTAAACATACCTGACTCCCAAGCGCCCTCTGCAGAGTATTTATCATTGTGGAGCTCAAGAAAATATTCTGAATTGGACTTGAAGCTAAAGGTTTATCAGACTTATCCTCCAGCAATACCATTGGTCTATTGGTGTGTAATGTAACTAGTAAAAAAATATGTGAACTCTACTAAAGCCTTAACCGCGAGTTGTCTATCAAACCCAGTCACAGGGTGAGCGTACAATGGAAATACTGGTGATAGAAGTTTTGGCAGACTTACCTGATGAGCTTATGGTAGCCATCAATATGCCATAAGGAGTTTGGCGCTCTCACATTATATTTGCGTCGGTTTGGTTTCAAAATGGTCAGATGCCGCAATATACACCCTTCTAAATCCACTCTTCTCACAGATTCACGAACCCTTATTTCTTGAACATTGTCTAAGTAAGTATGCCCTCACAGATCTATAGCCAACATCTGGATGGTTTATTAATATCTGCTCAGTTTTTACATCCAGTTCTTCATCAGATATTGTACTGAATTTATTTCCATATTTGATGCCATACTCTGAAAGCCTTGTCCTCAAGGTTCTGACACTAATTCCAAAAAGTTCGGCAATATCTTTCTGCTTGAAATTACACTCTATCAAAAATTCCAGCTGGCTCAATGGTATTTCAGTCTTTGGCCTGCCCGTTTTCCCGTACACATAAGTTGGTTGTACTCCAAAAGAGTCTCCTTGCGCTTGTTGTTGAACTTCAACTTGAAGCATGGTATTCACAAGATCAGATGCAGAAGACAAACATTGCATGGCATGGTCTATTTGAGAATCTTCAAACTCCACCGATACCTCTGACAAGATACCAGACACCATGTCTAATTCTCTTGCAACATACTCTATGGATTGCCTACTTTCAAGTTTATAAGCTAAATTTGTTATCAGTCGTTTGAGTTCGCTGATAATTTCGACAGCCATGACGAGAACAATAAACTAGAGTTAGCTCCCTTCGTTTGGGAGAAATCATTGTGTCGATTAGAAAATAGTTCGACCTTGACATTGACCTAAATAAAGATAATTCAGTGGAGAAACGTAGTTAATGACAGCGAGATATGTCATCTAATGCTTATGGTAGATGTTTCAGATTGTAAAATCAATTGTGCATAAGAGGTTATATGTATTTTTTATTAGAGGTTTCTTGTATTTTGTCTTTTGCAATAGACGTATGAGGTATTTTGTATTAGAGGTTTCTTGTATTTTGTTTTTTGCATTAGACGTTTTAGGTATTTGGTATGGCATTATGTTACATGTGTGTTTTGAATTAGACATTTCTACATAACATTAGGTTTTTGCCGCTTTCCCCCGCCATAGTAAGCAACTCCAAAAGTATCCAATGGTTTTGTAACCGAAATTCCATTCTGAATTCCAAGCATCCAATCAGACTGTTGCAGCTGTATTCACAAATAATAATCGATGCCCGAAAAATGTCGTACAAAGTAGAGTGGCTCCAGACAAAATGTTTTAATCCATAGTCAACTCAGTACAAATTCGTGGTATTCGATTAAAAGAAAAGTAAAATTAGTGTTTTATTAGGGCTTGATGACAGTTAGGGAAACAAAAGTAGAAATGCCGGAAAAAATTTCAGGTTTACAGACAGCGGCGCCGGTTTTCTTCGAGAGGCGAAGAAGCGGGGCTGACCTTGTATGGACCCCCCAAGAAAATTTTGGAATATTTGACGACCGCAAACGCGTTTACTGCTATTCCAGCCCGTAAAATTAGTGTTTTATTAGATTTAGGGCACTTTATTTTGCCAAGTAGATGAAATAAACAATTTTTTTACTTTACCCGTCTGCCCGAAAAGTCAGCTTGCCCGAAAGTTAGGGGGGCAGAGGTGCCCTCCCTGTCCCCCTGGCTCGTACATTCTTAAACCCATGTCGTTAAAATGATTATGGTATATCCATGTCAGGGGCAAAAATTCATTTCACCATTAGCTTAATCTAATAATGGTATGTGATACATAGACATTTTAAAATGGTCAATTTATAGAGGTTTTTAGTAATGAACTGTTTGGCATCTTCAAATGAACAGTTTCTTTAATGACGATCTGTATTAGAATATATTTAGCATTTTATTATTAACAATATTTAACCGATTAAGTAATTTAGATTGCAAATTAATGTCTAAGTAATACCGTCTCATACAATAAACAAAATATTTTCTGATACCAAAGACAAGCCAATATTAAAATATACTCGAATATACACTACATAGACTTTAAACAACAATCAGTATGATGATTTATACGATTTATTTTCAATTCGATTCATTTGATTGAATAAAATATTGTTATGGATAATTGTTGACAGTTGGCATAAAGGGAGCCAACTCCTGCTGTGGAGAGATAAGGTATTTTCACACAGGTTTCAATTTTCGGATAAATTCAAAATTTTTAGTATAACCAGTATAATGTTATTACGACAGTGGCCTAATTTTTTGACTAGTATTGTGAGTTAACCTAACGTTTTATATAAATACAATAACTAAAAATACTTACTCAAGTAGACTTATATTCTTGTATTGGTGACCGTAACTTTAAATGATCTGGTCGTAGGCTCTGGGAAGATACATGCCTTGGTCACGATTAAGGGTCGGGTTTGTCCATGTGGGCGTATCAAAAGGCGATGTAATCGTCACCGAAAATGGAAAAGGAGTACAACGGAGTCGCTTATCAAATATTATGCTTAATAGCGAAGTCATCTATGCGTCATACAGTCTAATCAAGTTATAAAACTTATAGTAATAGATTGTATAAATTTAATTCAGCTTGTTACCATAGATTGTATAAATTTAATTCAGCTAGTTACCATGGATAACGTTCTCTCATGTTCGAGAGTCGTGAAAGTGTTTTCGTGTTCTTCCGTCGTTCACGAACCTGCGCGAACACCGTTTCGAATACACCCCTTGTGTATTCTGTACGTTTTTATCTTCGACCAATTAACTTTGTGGTGACGGTTGGTTAGATGGGCGGCGACATTATCTTTCCATTACTGTTTAGGTTGTTGATTTTCACACAAAATTCTGCAGTCGTTGATGAAGGAGTCTGCATGCTTGCCTAGAAAGGAGAGTTGTTTGGATCTGTTATTATACTCATGGTATTTGTGTCGTGTATAATAACGAATTTGGTATTATTTCTGCCGTGTATAATAGTGTGTACTTCAATATCTATATCAGGGAGTTTTAAAAAGTTATCCCGACTTGTTGTATATAATCTGATACTTGATGGTTAGATTTTTGAAAATTATATTTTCCAAGAATGGATCTTTGTCTTAGGGCGTGGTCGGGCAGACTTTAGAACGAGCTACAGTTACATGGCTGAAACTTACCAGAAACAAAGATCTGTCCGTGTAAAATATAATTTTCAAAAATCTAACCACAAATTGGGGGGGGGGGGGGCTTTCCCCAAGTCTGCCCGATGAGGTCATCAGTTACATGGCCGAAACATAAATATAGATCAGTGCATAGACAAAGTGATTCTCGAAAATCTAACCATAAATGTTGGGTCTTTCCTCAAGTCAGGGTGAACTTTATAACTTAGCCCCACCGATTCCCTGTATGTAAAACTTATAATAATGTAATAACAATGATACCTTTTTGAACCGCAGCAGGATTCACAATACTAACACCAAAGAAGAACAAATGTTGTCAGCTATGTGAAAACTTCACATAAGAAATGGTATCAGGTGCTGTAAAAGAGTAAGCATAAGATGCCCAATTCACTGGACACAGCACATATTATAGCTAAATGAATAGATAGTTAGGATTAGTATTAAAATTGTGTCTACAAACATTCTGTTTTCCCTTTCTGGCACATCACAACCCCCCTTTAACAGTTATTCAGAATGTTATTCAACATTATACAGCATGGTGAAAAACACAAACAAACATTTCAAAAACATTTTGGAATGTTGTAATATTTAGAGCTCTGATTTGATCTATATGTTTTTTGCTTTTCAACCATATGTTTGGCGCAATATAGCCCGGTTGGTGCTGACGTGCCATAAAACCACATTTCATTTCTTTTTATTTTGCTTTTCTGAATCTTTGATAATGAATGAGCTCCTAATGGATTCTAGAAAATGTTAGTGACAGTTGAATTATTGAATTTATGAAAACTATTTATTTACACTATATAATTTGAGTTATCCTTCCGTTATAAAATAATTTTTTTCAATGTAATGTATATAATATGAATGAAATAGTGATACATGTTGTCGCTCTAAGATATAAGAAACCCACTCACCCTTCAAATCTAGTTAGATTTAGATTTCTAGGACTATAGCAGATTCTGTTCTCAAATTATATAATTTGTGGAAGTCATGATATCAACCGTGCATACTGTCGACTAACTATAATTAACAGCCAATTTACTCGGTTTAAGCCTGATTGGTCTTTGGCTGAATTTTAAATTTTAAAGTTAGTATTAACAAAAAACCGAAGAGAGTGGTGCTGTTTTTCACATATTCGATTAAAGACAATATGTTTTCACAATAATATTAAATAAGAGAAGATTTTATGTCATTCTGCTTTTTACTTTATTTAACTATTATTTTCCCTATATTATTTTCATTTATACCAATAAGAAAACTTGCCATGGTCCCGACTGGTGAATCATCAATTAATCCACGGGAACACTGTAGTGACCCAGTTTCCAAACTACAGAATACTACAGTATTCCTTCCTATACATATCTGACGAATTCCCTACGGAAAGTGCAATAAGACACTGTAGTATTTCCTACATAAATCTGTAGGAAAACCTATAGAATATTCCCTACATAATCGGCAGAATATTTGGGGTCGTTACTTCCTACAGGCCCCCGAAATTCTGTAGAATACGATAGAATTGTATCCTATAGACAATGGCAAAGCCCCACACCCCAACCAACAAAAACACGCAACTCTATAGAAACTTTCTATAGAATTCTGTTGAAAAATATATTGGTATCCTATCGGACTTTTTGCTAAGGATTTGTACAAATTGATATCAACTACGATTGATAAACGAGGCAAGTGTTATGTATATATGTATATGCGGTGTTATATGTTACACAATTGAGGAAATATCAATTTACACCTTCCTTACATTAGCAATCTTATCAGATTAACAGAAGACGAGTAACAGCTGGCACTGACTTAACACGGCGAACAGCTGTGCGAATGTCATTAACTGAAGTCATTAAAACAGCTGGCACTGACTTGACACGGCGAACAGCTGTGCGAATGTCATTAACTGACCCGAGGTCTTGAAATGATAAAGCAACCTGTACAGGAAGCTTAATCTGTTTATTACATAATGACCAGCTGTAATCTCCGGCCATAATTGAATCTGAAATATAATACCTGGCCATAGCGGATTGGTCAACACTATCTGTCCGTTCGGGGCACCCACCCACCCCAGACTGATACTGACCAATCAGGTCACGGTACATGGGTGTGGTTTCTAAATTCAAGGCTGGACCTCGATCCGGCCCAGTAATATATAAATTCAAACTAAATGTTTTATCAAAAAATCCAGCCCAGAGAGCCGAGCTGGGAACAAGACTGCTACTAGATGAAACACCTGTAACTTAAGTATTGTAGTACGAGTATTGTAAATATGTTTATAGTAGAATAAAAAGTATTGTATGACCCTGAAACTAGTCTTGTCATCCGAACCTGATTAAAGAACCAATGTCACATATAAATTGGCGCCGTAGACCAGAGCAACGGTTGAAGTCCTCAACCACTAGAAGAACACAGCTATCATTATTAAAGGTAAGTCTTTTCTAAATCCTAACCATGGCAACGGTAAATCTAGACATAAGTGCTATGTTTAATAATTTAACTGGGGAAGTAAGCAATTTGTCGTCAACACTTAAGCATCATGGAGTAACTCAGTTGGTTCCAACATTTCCTGGCAATCCCGAACTATTTACTAGTTGGGTCAAAAGTATTGAAAAATATGCCCTTTTAGCGGATGTCCCTGACGAAATAATTAAATACGTTGCATATCAAGCTAGCAGTGGAACCGTCAGTGATTATTTATCCCGGTATACCCCACAAGATCCTGCAATGAGGCCCCCTGGAATGACGTTAAACAGGAATTAGCTACCCGTTATGACGTTGTAAATGATGCTCAATTCGCCCTAAGTGTTTTACAATCAGCTAGGCAATTAGGTGATGAAAACGTGCAAATCTTCGCTGAAAGAATCATCTCTTTGGCCACGAAAGCGTTCTCCACAGCAGAAATGGACCTCGCCCCAATCCAGCGTCAGTTAGTTACCACATTTGCTAATGGCTTAAACAAAGACTATTTAAAGCTCAAA